TGTAAAAATGCAAAATATAAGTACTCCAAACAGATTACTATAATTAATTTAAACTGGATTACTGCTGTAATTAATTGAAATAATAGTGATAAATTTTAAAACTCTAAAGTTCAAACAAAATATAACAAAAAATAAAACTATAAAATTGCTGAAAATTAATTAAATTAATGCTTTTTATATTTCGAAGGAATTACCTTGTGAGATTTGTTTGTTACGAACGTATTCTTTCTTGAAAATATCCAAAAGGTTAGCGTTAAATGCTGACCTATCAGCAGTTGAACAAACTGCGAATTTTATTATTATTCCAAAAATTACAATGTTAATAAAAATAAATACAAATCAAATATTATTACGATAGCTTAAAATAATCTTTTTTTTTGATGAATATAAAATTATACGAACAAAGAGGTCATAAGTCAAACTAAGATAAATTTACAGTTTCAAAATTAATTTTAATGAAGCTGATTTCAGATAGATTAGTTGATTATTTCTTAAATCATACCATTTAAATTGATTGAATCACCATTACTTTTTCGTTGTGAACGTCGTCCAATTTTTGTCTCTAAAATTGTACAGAAATTAATTTCAACATTAAAATTTTGCGTGTTATTAACTTTATTAATTAACATTTTTAACGTTTTATAAAGTTTAAAAGTACTAATTTTCCATATACTTAACAAATAAATGCATGAAGAAATTTTCATCAAAGTATTTTAAGCAAAAATATACAAATCCGTGCTTTTTGCCAAATCATTTTAGTTACAGTAATTTCTTAAAAATATAATTTTTATAGGTTAAAAAACAAAACTGTATATAATGTAGAAACAAACTTTGTAGGATATGACAGTTTGGCATACCGTAACGTGTAGAAGTGCTCGGCAATGGTCGTCCAAGCCTAGTAACGCACCAACAGTAACCCGTGCTTTTATGACACTGTAAAAACTTGCTTTCTATACGTTTGGAAATGCATTTAAGAAAGTATATAATGTGGCATATAATAAAAGTTATAAGCTGAGATGATTGTTGCTTCTTACCGTAATGAAATGTTATAGATAAAACTTTACAAACTTGACCACAGACTTAGTGATGATTGAAATTATTATATCAGTCTTGAATTTTGCTCCTAGAATCTAAGCTATGGTTTCTTGCTTAAGTTTATTGTGTAGCAAATAAAAACAAGCCTGTATGCTAGCATATGAACCATCTGTAGAGTTACATTCTGGTACAAAAATTTCACTGCTATTCATTTGTTCGAGCGCTAATCTTAATTGATATTCTCGTTCTAGCTGACATCGCAAATTTTCTGCAAAAAAAATAAAAATCAAGATATAACCTTTGACCATTGTAAATTCCTGATACTTTTGAGTGTAATTACGATGTCAGCTAAAGTTGAAGATTTTATGTAGACTTTAAAATTCTAAATAGAGTTATTGTAAGTTCAAAATTGAACTTGAATGTTTTTAAATTTGAGTTGCTTAACTTTGAACTTTTGAACCTTTGGATTAGTTTGATGATCAGATGGGGTCATTAGCATACCAGGACAAGGTCCAGAGAATTTCTTCTTCACGGGATTACCGTGGCAATTAGAACGTTTCACTTCACAGTACGAGTTGTATGTTCTGCCATCGCTACCACAAATTAGCTCAATGTTCATCTCCTCGTAATTGCATAATTTTTGCATAAAACAGTTCTCTTCCTATTCAAATACATTTATTGCTTATTTTTTTATTAATGTAACTTAGTATAATATTTTTGTTAAGTCAAGTCTGCAGTAAAATTATTTAAAATTACTAAAGTTCAAAAATTTAATACCGTAAACATTTTACAGTTTTGTTGAAGAGCATTGCGATTCGCTTCTATCAATGCTAATAGTTCAGAGTTGTGAAGAATGAAAAGTTTAACTTTCAAATATGACATTTCACCTTTATCGCAAAAAAATGACTTCTAGATGCAAATAAAAGATTGTTCCTTCTGTCTTTAATAAAACTGATGTGTCGCACTTTTATAACACAAAATATATATTTATAGCTTATGTAAGAATTTGCTTGCAAGAAAGTTCCAAAATATTTTTTTCCTTAAAAATGACAGAAGAATTATTAAAAATTTTTAAAATTATTGGGAGAAATGAAGCATAAAAAAGAAAGCTTAGAAAAATAAGCTTTTGACAAAAAAAAAGTTCAAAGTTCAGTGCTTCAGAATAAAAAAAGTTCAAAGTTCAGTACTTCGCAAGATCACTGTCTAATAACCTTTTGTACTATTCAAATTTTGA